GAAAGAGGATCAACTAGCTGAGTCAGTAAAGAGCCATGCTCTGCAGATAAATACATAAGGTGTTTTTTTCTACATTTCCATTCTTGGCATATAGTCTGCTGGTGAGTTTGAAATTCTGGAGTCATTTCCTCTATTTTGCTGTAAAGTGGGAGAGATTATAGTGTTGAAATACAGTACTTGAAACATTTTTTTGCTAAGAGTATTAATGAGAAGTTGGGTATGAAAGAAAATAATGGGAATGCCAGGACTTTCTTTGAAGGTGAGTGGGTTGATTCCTTTAATTTCATGGAAGTATCACCAGTAGTACACAGATTCCTTAGAAGCAGTAGGTCTCTGAAAATATTCTGATGTGGCAGTGTTTGACTGGGTGGGAGAGAGGTGGTGACCTTTGTACCCAGAAGATCATGTGAAGTGGGACTGACCTTGAAAAACCTCTATTTTAATACCACTTGAACAAGTGAAAATTGCTGCAACTTCTTTTGGCCAGAAGCGTCAGTGATGAATCTCAACTTCAAATGGCATTAATATGGTGATGTTGATAAAGCTGAACTTTGTTTTTCAAACAAAGGAAGTGAGATTTGTAAGACCTGAGAGCCCAGCAAGCCTTGCTGCTTGCTTCTCACACCCTTTCGTGTTACACTATTTCTGTCAGACATGTCCAACAGAAGGCAGATGCATTTTTCTTTATCTTTAATTGGGAAGCATAATTTGACCAATTACAAGGTTTAAACATAGTTTCAGAAACATCAACATCGATTTTTCTTCTTGTCATTATTAAATCATTTTTTTGGACTGATTTAATAAATTCGTGTCCTTTTACTATCTGGTGCTTTTTTGTGTGCTTACTTAACTGTGCTTGGAGGTGTACTCCTTGGGGTTTGTATCTGCAGAGAGAGTCCCTCTTTGCTGAGGAGAGAAGAGCAGTTAGTTGCTGAAGTTCATGTGTTATACAGGAGGAAATACTTTGTGAAGTATTTTAGAACAAAGTATCATGTAAATGGTGCATAACTTTTTTTATGAATTGGGCTCACAGCATGTAGGCCAGATGCCAGGCTGCTAAAGTGAAGCAGTAATGGGAGTTCAGAAGTTGTTTGTGACTGAAAACAATGGAACAAACAGTAAAAGACTTTCATCTCAATTAAACCCAGTCCTGAGGCATAGATGTTAATTTAACAGGCTCCAAGACACCATTTATATATCCTGGTAGTTTTAGTTCCCCGTATGTCATTAAGGAAGCAATTACTAGCTTTATGTAGAAAACTTTGCACAAGTGACATAACTGTTAAGGAAAAAATTGCTTAACTCCTAACTTGCACCATTTTTGGCTGTTTATTTCAGTGGTTTTGGCATAACTTTAAAAAAAGGTCACTGATTTTTGCGTAGTTTTGTGGTGTGAAAACTAATGAAGTGCTCTTTTAAAACTTCCCATGTGCCAGAGGCTAGTAAAGATCTAAACTAGGGCAGCCTTAATTAAAGAGTCAAATATTTGTACACAGTTGTACATACACCTTCAGAAAATAATGAAATATTTTCCTAAATCATCTTCTAAATGAGTAGAGAGAATCCTCTTTAATTTTGATAAACAAAGTACTCCAAGTGATTCTTGCAATTTTGACTACTAAGCCATTTTCCCCTTGCCCAGTGAAGTAGGAATCTTAAGAGCACTGTTTGCCTTAACACACCTTTTTCTGCTTTTTGCCAAAGGTCATGCTCTTAAACCACAAGTTGCTTCCATTTTTACGTCATTTTTGGATGGATTGAAAAAATTCTACATCACAAAGGTAATTTGGGGGTTTAACACTGTTTTGAACTTCGCATGCTTGTCATAAAGTTCAAGACTTTTTGGTAAACTGTCTCTAATGCAGTTGAGTTTGAGTGTAACTGATAGGACAATGTAGGATTTGTTAACTTGACATTCTCAAGGTGGTTTAATTCACAGTGAGATTATCTGTTTGAGAAGTAACTCCACAAGAGCTGATGTCGCTGGTCATACTTGTAGATGACATTAATGTGCCTTGTCTAAAAGTAAGTTGGTGACAGAGGAAGAATGAAGCCAGTTTCTCTAGCTTGCAGACCAGTGATCATCAATTAATACTGATGTTGTGAGGCTAACTCTGTACTATATTCTTCTCTTCCCAGATTTTGTCAAGGCATGATATACCTTGTTATTAGACTGAACTAGAATTTTGTGAGAACCTCAAGATACCTGTCTTGAATTGCCCATATAAATTGGTTTTTTTGTCTGTCTGGAATTCATTCCTTTTTAACCTAGAATTATTTGGTGCTAAAATGACATCACCTAGGCTTATGTATTAAATGGTTATTACTGATTTCTCTTCCAAATCAGTTAACTAGACAGTTCCTGCAAATGTGGGCATTCAGATGTAGAGAACTGCATCATCATGAAGTTGGATAACTGTTAGATAGGAGGAGGCAAACATTCGATTAATGTAAATATGAATAGATATGAATAGATGTGTCAACACCAAGAGTCTTCAAGGAGTGGTTTACTTTTGAGACAGTGGCTAGTGTTGATTCTGCAGCTGTTGAAGTGGGAAGTGCCATGTGTCTTGGGGCTTCTTTTGTTAGGGAATATCTGCTAGGTTTAGAGAGAGCCCAAAAACTTTTGCCTTCCCTCCCTGACCTGCTGTCATGCAGAAATATCTAACGTAGTAAAGGTTTTGGCAGCAAGATTGTTGTCAGTTAGAAACAATCCTAATCAGCAATATCTACTGCTTCTGTAGCTGGCAACAACCTTCACTGCGTCTTGGGATGTTGTATCCCAAAGGGTTGTTGTATGCCAATTCCAATTCTTTCAGCTCTGCAGGAGAAAAACGTGGAGAAATGCTACGTAATACTAAGGTATAGATCCCAGGCTGGTGACCAATCCTTGGCTCTTATGTCAGGGCTCACTCCCCTGGTGGATATGAGCAACTGCTACTTCAGAGGAAACTCCCAGCTGGGATTTGAGGGAAGAATAGACAAAGAAACAAGTTTAATGATTCTGAGACTGCAAGTGCAGGTGTTACTGGGACCAAAATGCTGAAATCCATCTTACACTTATTTCATCTGTGAATTTGGGACTGTTCACTGATAGATGAATGCTAGGTGTTTTTTGTCTACTAAGTAGCTCACACTGTAGCTAGTGCCCCCAGTGCCTCTTAAAGACAACTGTAAGGTGTTAACTGAACATTACAGCCAAAAGATGGCAGACTAGATGAAAGGATTCATACTAAATGAAATACAAATGGTTCTAGAACAAGAAGGGACTGTGAATAGCATCTTAAACTCCAAGGACAGGAATAAAGGTCTGTTATCACCGTAGTAACAATATTTCTTTCTGTTAGCCATGCTGGTTTTTTTGTAGGACTAGTGGGTAAGACAGATCCTTTGCCAGGTGAGGTATTTTCAGTTTTGTGGTGGTTTTCCTGGTGGTGTTGGGGTGCTCGGATGCAGTATCCTTTTCAGAAATACTAATTTGACTGTCTGACTGGGGTTTACCATACAGATTTGAGCTCTTTGTCTGGAGGATTGAGCCAACCCAAGATACTTTGCTGGTGTTTTTTGGACCCTCCTGATACCTTCAGTTAAATTCCTGTACAGTTGATCTATTTGGTTAAGGGAATAATAAAGGAATAGCAAAAAAAACCCAACAAAAAAACCGAAACAACTGGATTTTTTTTTAGCACAGCTGTTGCACATAAAAGAATGAATTTGAATCTCTTGACAATTCATGTAACTTCATGTTACTTTGCTTGGTGCTTCAGTAACAAATTGCCACAAGCAGAGTTGAGACTGAAAGAGATGAATGCCATTGGAAAGGGAAAAGCTTTAACAAAATAATTTTGGTCAATGTACAGATTAAGAATGTGTTGTTCTAAATCATAAATTTTTACCCTTTTTTAACTGTGGAAAAAGTTATTAAACTTGATTGTAACTTTATATTTACCTCCATTCTATCTGAAACCTGCTTAATAGTGGTAAGTCACTGAAACTAATTAAAAATAATAAAAGGTATCTTAAAAATGAGTAAGGCTCTTATTCTTTGGACCATTTGGGAAGATAGGACACTTGACTTGCTCCTGTCTTGGTAGGAGCAAGTCTGACATACAGACAGCCTTACTACTTACCTTTTATGTTTTCTTCCCATTTTCACTGGGATATGCTCTCTGCCACAGGTTTATTAGCTGTTTTCCTTCCATGGTCCTGTTCCGGTGTAGAGATTTTCTGTGGCACACTGCTGATATAACTGTTTTGAGAGCAGTGACATTTATGCTGGTCATGGTCATCTTCCTGCTTTAATACAGGAATAATTGATGGAATATAAGTATCTCTGTTGCTCAAAGCACTTGACCTGTTTTTTATTCAGCATTAGGTAGATAACTGTTATGTCTACACTTTTTAACAGAAGGAAAATGGTGACAGATAATTTCTGTTATTTCGGTGAACTTGTGTCCTGTCAAGGAAAAACTTAAGTGTTTTGGGAGTAAATCTGTGAAAGATGTTTTTTTCACAATCATTCCTCTTCATTGCAGCAGCGCTTATTGACCAGGGCATGTGCCATGTGTTTGAAAAGTAGAAACTTGTTGCTCTTATTCTACCAACAAACAGACTAAGAATAATGCAAAGTTTGTCTCTCTTTTGCAGTTTAAAGGATTTGATCCCAACATATTGTGTGTAGCTACCTTGCTCTTTGAGGGTGACAGAGAGAAGGTTCTTCAGCATGAAAAGCAAGTCTATGATATTGCCACCAAGTTTGGGTATGCTTTTCAGAGAACTTTTTCATCGTGAAGCTGAGAATTAATTGTCCAGGAAAAAATAGGCCTGTTTTGCAATATAGACTCTGTATTTTGGCTATAGTAAGTGGAAACAAAAACATAAGGGTAATGATACATTTTTGCAGAGTTGATATGAACTTACAAATACAAGAACCTTGTTGAGTTAAAGAGGTGCAGTGACTTTGTCCCACAGACTGGTTTATGTCTTTACAAAGGAACAGAAAACACTCACTGAAGTAGCAGGCTGATTAATGATCAGGAGATTTCTGTCCTTTGATTAAATGATTGATGAAAACTGTCATTAAAAGTGTTTTGTCAAGAATGTACTTTATTATTTTTAATAAAGTCAGTGCAAGTATTAGTCTTGGCTTTTCAAATATACATAGGTATTATTTTATCCATTTCAAGGGTCTCCTTTCTGAAATTTGGGTTTTCATTGTGCTTTCATTCTATGACTTCAGCTGTGAATGTGTGATAGTGTATTGATAAGGGGAAAAACTCCATTAGGTTCATTAGAAGATGGTGCTGTGTCTGCTGCTTAGTTAAGGCTCTTAGTTAAGTGTTTGATTTAACCTTGTTTAAAATTTTAAGCCATTTAATGGTTTTTTATTCTGAAATACTTTAATTCTAACCTTTGTCAGGGTGCCTGATTTCACACACACCTCCCCTCAGATTTATGGGAGCTTCTAGGAAGACTGATTAGATACATGCACTTTCTTCTGCCTAGAAACCAATAGTTAAAAAACAAATGCTATTATAATGATCCTAGCTTGATCACTAGTGTCTTCTTTTTTTTTTTTTTTTTGGTTCATCATTTATCTCTTTTTCAAGCTGTGGAATGAAAAGAGAAGTGCAAAGAGTTAAAGGTCTGGTCTGAAGTAACTTCTGGTTTCTAGTGAAGAGACCTTGCTACTTACAACTATTTTAACACAGCTCAGGCAGCTAAAGCTGGGGATATGTTTAATAAACAAAGTTGGTTTATAAATATTTTTGTAAACTGGTGACTAATTTAATTAATTAAATTGGTGTCAATTGCAGTGGTTTGGCAGCAGGAGAAGATAATGGACAGAGAGGATATATGCTGACATTTGTCATCGCTTACCTTCGGGTAGGTCAGCTTTTGTCTGCTGAAACTTCTACTAATTAATATAACAAAACATAAAGATGTTGGTTTTTTGAAGATGCTTTCTCTGAAATCTAAGTTCAGGTTGCCTTGAGTCTTACCTTAGGCTTCTCCCAGAGGCTGTATCTCTTCCATTTCTGACTAGTGATTGTTCATGGAACTGCATCTGCAAAACACCATAAAGACATTTAATTAATGTTCTTGTTAAGAAAATAGTTTTTCCTAAAGGTTAGAGAAAATTAGGTTGAAGAATCCACAAGTTGAATGGAATCAGACATGGAGAGTTCTTGAAATACTCATGTGCTCTCTTGGATTTCACTCTTCTTTGGAAATCTGCATATGGCTGTGGTTTGAATCAGAACATAAATGGACTAAAAATGCAGCTGTTCTTATGAATTTTAGTCTTACTGATGGAAATTTATTTTTCTTTCAGAGTGTGCGTATCATGAGTGCTTGATTTTATATTTTTTTGGCTTTCTATAGTTGGGGACAAATCCCTGAATTTACCTTCATTTCCGCAGGCTATAATGGGCAAGATGTTTGTCTTTATTCCACCTAGATAGCAACTACATTCGAAATAAATATTTCTACTAGGTGGTTAGCACAGTGGAGTTCTTGGCTTGATACTACAGTGATACAAGTGTTTGATTAGTGTTAGACATACTGACAGTCTGACAAGTTGTGTCACTGTAGCCATGGCATCAAAATGTTTGTCATCTGTGCCTTTTAAGGGCTTCCCTGTTTCCATCATTATGAACTTACATCACTGGGACAGGTGTTTTTGCTGAATAGAATTTCTGGTTTTCTCATACAGACTAAAACATTTTTCAGCTGTTAGCTGTGTCCATACATTGGAATCCCAGATGTTGATGCTGAATGTTACTGATCATTTCCTTACTCTATTTGCTAGGACCTGGGCCTGGATTACTATGTAATAGGAGAATCATTTGAGACATCTGTTCCTTGGGATAGGTAAACTGTGATTACTCTTTTAGAATTTGTTAAAACTTGTACTTGATTTCATTCAAATGATTCCTGACTCATGCTTGCTCATGGGGATACTTAGTTTAGGCCTTACTGTGTATCAGATGCTCCCTCATGTGCCTCAAGTCTTGCACCTGTGTGTTCTTGCTAAAGTTGCTAGTCAGTTACATGTCAGGATTTTGCAGAAGCAATGTATCAGTCATTCAGTAATATTTCTGCTTAGGTTAGCCTACTGTAACAAATTCAGGACTCGACATTGCCCTGGGTAGGAATCTGGACATTGGTGATAATTACTGAGCTGGGTGATGAGCAGCCACGTGTGTGGGATCAGCAGTGTGTTTCAGAGTAGTTTGTAGTGAAGATGAAAAAAATTATAGAG